CCCCCCCCCCCCCCGTACTCACCTTGATATGTAGAGTACTTTAAGTACTGATGTAGTTTGATTAGACATCAGTGGATAATTATTGTTGAAATACAGTTGAGGCTTTCATTTTCAGACATCCAGCGTTACTGCTGTACTCTTCTTCCTGAATGTTACCCGGCCTGGAGAGGGAGCGAGCTTCACGCAGCAAAGTTTGTATTATGGGTGCAGTTAAATTCTTACTGCCTGGAGTCTTTAAGCTCAGTTTGCTGACACAGTACATCTCCACGCAGCTGCACATTTATGCTTCTCACAGCCTCGGGACATGTTGGATCTCTTGTATGTGCCCAGTACAGGGGACACACGTATACACAGCAGGTCTGTTGGGAGGGAGTGGGGCTTTGCCTCATCTGCATCAGTAAGGCTAAACACTGTTGCAGAATTAAAATATTTTCTGGAGTTTTTAAGATGTAAATAGTGTTAAAATAGTAAAGCCAGAAAGAATTAATGTGGAAGACAGTTGCTATAAGAAGACATAATCTTTTTTGATTTAGTCACCTTAGGTAGGTGTTCTAGTCAGGTTGTATTTTGATTTCTGAGTGGTATTCTTAATATAAGTTTTAGTTTATAAAGTACTTCCTACAAACATTTTAAAGATTTATTTCTTCAGAAATTCTGTGAGCCTACTTATAAACTGGTAATTCGAAGTATATTTGAGAATCTGTACACTATTGATTCTAGGTTTTATTTGTGTTTCATAACTAGTTGCACTTACATTACTAAGTTATATGACAAAACTAAATTGGAACTTTTTTGGGTTTGGCTGCCTCTGGTGAGGGCAACTCCTTGCTTTCTATAGCACGTACATGTGGGGGTCTCATAACCAGAATTAAGATTCCAGGCTTCTGCATTCCAAACTGTGATCTGTTGTCCTTTCTTACCTTTTTTTTTTTTTTAACATTTTCTCTGCTGCTACATATGCCACTTGTGCTTTGTTCTGCTGCCAGAACAAAACAAGACACTTGGGGTTTTTACCATGTATCACAGGCACGGCCCTCAACACTGTTCAGTATCCTGGAGCAGAAGATTCATCTTCCTGATGATAATTCACTTTTGTTATTAATCAGATGTGTCTGGTCTACCACTTGTGCTCCTTTACAGTCATCACTGGACTCTGCGAAACATCCTGAAAATTTTTTGTGGGCAGGGAGTTATTATGAAGCTAATCGCAGAAGACACAACTCTTCAGATGGGCTTGGTCCTAGCAATCGACAGCCTAATGGAGGTATAATTTAGCTTTCATGAAACATTTTGAATAAGTTTACATCATTGCTTCGTGGCACTCTAGCTAGAAAAAAAATCTGATCGTCATAGCTCTGCTGTGGCAAATTCTTATTCTGTAGTAAATAGAGGTAATGCAAAGACAGGTCTTCCGGGAGAGGATGATGACTAAAGGCTGGTTAAAGTGTGATTCCACGTGTATTTCTCTCAAGAAGAATGAGTGTTGAGATAATATTTTAACCACCAGCGTATAAATGAGCAGACAGAAAAGGAAGTTAACTTGTGTTCATGTCAGACTACTGTCCTCTTTCTCTAGTGCTGTTTTGTAAGATTCTTCCTTTCTGCTTCTGTGAATGAAAAATTAAGTTTACTGTTCTATCATGTCACAGAGTGTAGAGCTGCTGACTTAACTTCTCTAACAACTGTGCAAAAGTAGAATATTGTTTTAAAATCGTTTGTAATTACATTTCTTTAAAACTTAATGTAAGGGCATTCTTGGAGAAAAGAGAACACTGGCTGGCGTTGCCAAGGCAGAAGTGGTACAGAAGATCTCGGCCACCCTGGGGGCTGCCACAGGGGAGGTTTCCGCCTGTGTGCCAGCACCTACCGCTGCGGAAGGGGACAGGGGCTGCATGAAAACAATGGACCTGAGAAAATGAGAGACAAAGAAGAACCCAGACAGTTTGAGGCTGAGGATTTTGTAAGTTATTAAAATTAAAATTATAATAAACAAAGTTTCATTGTTTTTGCGAGTGCCATTTTGTCCATTACAAGCTACTTCATGGCCTATCACCAGTTTCATGTCATCATAGGGATCACCCTTCCTATAGGTGGGTGGGTGTTTGTTGTTCATTTGTCCACTAACTTGTTTCTCATTTTATATCCATTTTTTATCATTATAGGTTTGTTACAGTCACTTAAGGGTTTAAGTGAAACTACAGTTCTGTTTCAGTTTACTGTGTATGTACTAAATTCTACACAGTTACCTTATGGGAAATCAGAAGTGCTAACAAAGCAATCTTTCTTCCAGTGGTTGTTTGAGATCCCGTGCTTCAACCTAGAACTGTAGGGTGTAAGAGGAGGGATGAGCTTAGGAATCATGCATTGCTGTTTTTTGCTTTTTGTGGACAGTTAATGTAATGGTACTGACTGCTGCCTGAGGTGTTTTTTTTTTTTTTTTAAAAACAGAAACAAGTGATCATTGACCTATTTAGGTCACTGGGGGAAGTCATAATGCTGATGTTACTGTGATTCACTGTTTCTAGATCAAGTCATCTTTCAAGACTTATCTTTTTGATAATGATAAAATTTCCTTTCAGCCATCTTTGAACCCTGAATATGAGAGGGAGGCCAACCAGAATAAATCTTCAGCTGGAGGTGTGTGGGGTGAGTATTTTTTATGTTCCTAGATGTAAAAATGTAGCAGAGATCTCAGGTTGTTTTATCTGAAATGTAAATTTTTTTTTTTTT